CTACGACAGACGGCAGATCGGACGAAACAAACCTTTTAAAATTATGTGATACGCATCACCTCCATATTACAGACACATGCATTCCTCAAACATCTCGGTCTACCTTACGCTGTTAAAATGTATGTATCTTTTCGATTTACATCACGGCATCTATTTGCAACTGTCTGTCCATCCTGGGAGAGGGGATCCCTCCTCTGTTGCCTCTCACCTGAGGTTGGGGCTCCCAATTCTTCCGCTTTAAACTGTGGGTTTTTCTCCGGAAGTGTTTCCTGTATGATGTGAGGGTCTAAGGACAGAGTGTTGTCGTTTTCTCATACTCGCATATCTCGCACAAACTGTGCTGATGTTATTGTCATGCTGTATAAGTGTCTTTCTGTAGGGTATATTTTATTATCATGTACAGCCTTATGAGCTTGACCATAAATTCCCAAAACACTATATTAATGTGCTATATAATAAAACTTGAAATTTGATTTGATATGATCTATGGAGATCGCTTAAGCTAACGCAATATATGCGTCCGACCGTCCACACTCACAACTACAGCCTCAAACGAACATATAATAAATACCAGCGAACTGTATTAATCACCATAGAACACAGACAGTCTGATGGTTTTTTATGTTTTAACTTTTGTCTAGTTTTTCTGAACAGAATATGAGGAGCTGTGACCTTGAGTGTACTAACAGCCTCACGGCTGGATGTTGTTATTTCATGGGTGAACTCATTGAAGATGACGTCACACGCTCAGCCTACATGGAGCGTTACTATAAGTTATTAACTAGCCCCAGCTCCTAAACTAGATATGAGAAGTTCAGCATATGAAACCGGGCCATAACCAGCCATAACACACTACCGTACTATAGTCCGATGCGAGGCCTGCAGTGGAAATGCGCATATACAGGCCAAGTGGCTGGGATTCCAGCGATGGTGTGAGGAGCGGAAAATAGAGCCTCTATCGTTGTGGAGTTGGGCATCTGATTTGCTGTCTATACTACAGTTAAACTGGTGGACAGAGGCTTGCTCATTCCCACAGTGAAAGTGTATGCAGCATGCCATCCTCATCCTGCCATGTGGGTATTGGTCGGCGCGCCTTTAGTTCAGCCACTAATGTTGCGGTTTCTTACGGGGGGTTCAGGATGTCCCCAGTAGTGCACGCCTTCCGGCCCCGCAGTTGCGGGACCTTGCAGCTGGTGCTCGATGGCTCTGGTCACAGAAACCATATTGAGCCTCTGAGCCTCTCCTCCCTGATAAGCACTGTCATGGAAGACAGCATTGCTACTTGCCTTAACGTCAGCCCAAGAACGTCCATGTTAAAGCCGCTCTACGGGGGTGGCACACCGAGCCTTGCTGTGTTGATATCCGGGTCGACCTGGTGCGTGGTGCGAGACTCAGACCAAACCCCCTCCTTTGTGGCCCCACAGAGCCAAAGGAGTAAACGTTCAGGTCAAAGGGCTATTAGTTGGGGGCTTTAATCTCCACCCATACAGCGGGGCCGTAGGGAGCTGAAATTATAGCACTCCTCTGTCCAGGTGGCGTGTGTAACCGCGGCGCCTAGCATGCGTTATGTGGAGCGCACGGCTGGCCCTTAGACGCATTTGAACAGCTGTTTGTGTGCTTTCGGGGCAGGGTGACCCGGGAAAGCTGTACAGTAGGCAAACATCGGTGGGATCGCCAGCGCATTTAGGTAGGCAGCCCCGGAGCTGATTCTACAGGTTATCAGAATTCAGTGATGAATTGCTTGCATCGATATGATCAAGGGGTAGTATTACACCATAGAATGGTCCAGTAAGGGGCGTCCGCCTGTTGCTTATATAATTACAAGGGTTACCAATACAATAACCCCTCGTTATAGGAATGCTTGTTTAGTTTAGTTTTTTAGTGTTAGTTTAAGATTTGTTAGTTTATTTATTTATAAGTGCTCGCTGGGACACGTCCCCATCTCTCTCCTCGTCTAGTTTCGTGTATCGTCGTCATACTGTCCAGGCTTCAGTGTCACAACCACGCTCTCAGTCTCTGGTCTCCACATGGAAGAGGTCCAGCCTCTGAAGGAGGTTGTACAGGGACAGCAGGGTGGTGATTATGTGGTCGGCAGTCTGTCAGGTCTCGCACACTCGCATACTGCGCTGTCTGCCCAGGCCCCACTCTATCATATGATGAACTGTCCACAAAAACAGTAATTGTGAGCAGCCTTTAGCCCGACATGGCTAATTACCCAGCCTGTTGTCCCACAGCCAGATTAAACCACACCCTTAAATCACAATATATTAACAGCATTAGCTTATTAAAGAAAGATAAAATAAAAAGGATGAGGACAACGTAGATTCAATTAAACAATAAACAACACACGTTTACTACATACAAGTCCATGTCACATATAGCACATCACAATCACATAACAAGAAACGAGGGGCAACATCCATGATGCACTAAATGGACACCACAGGCCATAATCTCCAACATCCAGTGTTGGGCAAGTTACTTACCATAAATGTACTATATATCATCATATTACTTATTACTGTCTTTTGAAGTAATATGTTACATTACAATATTACTGTCTCTGAAATGTAATGAGTTACACTACTTTTTAGTTATTTTTGAGTTACTTTCACCAAAATAACCGAAAAAGAATGGCTAGGTATTTTAAATGCTAAAATGTGGTTTAGTGCAGCTCATTATACATCCAGTAAAGGGCAATGTGGTATAGCATAACAACTGTGTAGGCCATTAAGGCTACTAACAACTTGTATTACACGGCTTAGTTGAATACTCGCTTCTGATTGTAAATTCTTAACATGTGACACGTTGTTAATACAGTACAGACCACTGTCAAGGACTATAATGAAGGTTTGCTAAGGAGGATCCAGAAAGAGAAAATAAAAGAGGTTAAAAGACGGAGCGCTGGACGTCAGATAAATCACCAGAAGAAGGCAGAGAGGAAGTAAACCATAACAGGACACGGAATGGGCTCTGTAGTTTGTTTAGTATATGGCCATGTACCGGCCCGGGTCCAGAACAAAATGACTCAGGGTGCATCTGAGATTACAGGGGGCGCAGCAGTAGTAGGTTTACATGAGCAATAGTGGCCGGCAACAGCAATGAAAAATAGCATTGATGGTCCCCAATGAACAGATTATGGCATTTGTTATGTTTTGAAACCAAGCAAGTGAGAACATTTTAAGTGAGTTAAAAGTGCAATCCTGAAATATTTCATATAGTCCAAAGTGGACTATGGCAAAGAAAAGCACAAAAGCTTAAAAACTGTACTGATAAAACAAATGAGAACATATTGTAAATCAAGGAAAATATTATTTAAACCAGCTCATGGTTTGAAATGGCAAACATTGAAAAGCAAAAGTATTATCACACTGTGGGACTGCGGGAAACGGTATCTCAAGATTTCTGGATGTATAACACATGTAGTAATTTTGACAATAAAGCTGACTTTGACTTTGACTTTGAATTGTAGTGGAGTAGAAAGAAGCATGAAGACAAAATACTGAAATAAAGCTAACAGTACCTGAAATGTGTGCAATTGTACAGTACTTGTTGTAAATGTACTTAATTACTTTCATAAGGAGGATACAAAATACATGTTATTTAAGCTCATTGAAAAAATAAAACACACATAAATCAGCGGTGTCTTTG